GAATTTTTGGAGGTTACATTCTTTTACCCGCAATGCTACGGATCGAGTTCTTCAGAATTTCGATGGGTTTATGGCAGATGCAGGCAGAGATGAGGATGTGGCTTTGGCGCTGGAATTCGTGAGTTCTTCTTCTTCTCAATCGTCGCAGGTTTTGATTTGGATGACTGCGAGTGATGGGAAAGATGGACATGCGAGTCTACAAAATTTCGTGGATTTGAGGAATCAGTCGATTGCGAGTACGTTTGGACCGACGACGTTTGCGGAGTATCCTGGTGCTGTTCCGGCTGTTTCGAGGGTGTTGTCCGCTACGGTTACGATTCAAGCTGGTGGGGAGGCGTTGGAAGAGGTGCATCGCATTACGAATTCTGTCTATGCGGACTTTCGTCATGTTCCTGATCTGATTTGGGATGTTCAGTATGAACCTTTGCCGAAAGCGTACCGGGATCGTGGGTTTGCGAGGAGTGGTGGGAATGTTATGGGGTTGAATTCTACGGATGATGATCTCGTCATCGTGTTCCTCATGCCTCTTTGGAAAGACGAAATCTACGATGACGAGGTCAGTTATTCTGTCTTCAAAAGTCCCCGAGCTTCGCTGATGAGATTTGCACAGGTATATCGAGCTGTTCGGACTTGGCTGGATGGGGTTGATGAATACATTAATGTCCACGATGTGGGATATCCGTTCCAATACCTCAACTATGCCGCACCGTTTCAAGATCCTTTGGCGAGCTATGGAGTGACGAACTTTCGGTTTTTGAAAGATGTGGCGAGGAAGTACGACCCAGATGGATTTTTTCCACGAGCGGTCTCTGGTGGATTTCGGTTGCGCGATGAGGATGATTTTTGAGTGGTCGTGTCGGAAATCTTAGGAAAGGCGGTTTTCTGCCCACGTTCAAGCTCTGTATTCTATGCCCTAAATCTTCCTACTTCGCAGTCTTCTCTCATCAAAGAAAGCCTTTGGCGCACTTGTAAGATGAAGCGGTGCCGGGATGAGTGTACATTGCGGAAATTGAATGTAGGACCTTGTTTCGGTGTCTGGGACATCGCACAACCTCAGCTGTTACGAACATCGTCGAGATCTTTGGACGAACGATTGCTGATGGCTGCTGTCGTATAACAGTCATACAGAGAAGCGACATTCGCGCTGGGAATGGCGAGCCGATCGACCGCACGAAGAATGGAGCTGTCACAGCCACCGCGACTCCCCACCCACACCACACCCACTCGTACCAGCACGATGGATGCAATCCCACCCTCCGAATACGATTGCGTGAAAGAGCATGAATGGATCATCCGGCGTGCATACAGTCCAGGCCACACCAGCCATCGTTCTGGTAGGAGTCGTAATTTTGCAGCGCATGTGCCATTGGAGGATGCGGCATACGTGGAGAGCACAAGAGCCATGAAAACGGGTCTCGGTACAAAATCTCTTCGAGCAGACCTGTGCTGCGTTGTGATCGAGCCAAACATGTGCTTGTGGCAGTACAGATGCACTGATCTCTGCCTGCTACCTTCCTCATCAAGCACTTGCTCCGCCTATCATGGTGTGAAGAGAAGAATGGGCCAAGACTATACACAAGTCGGTGATGCTTTCGTGCGTGGCGGGTATAAGGCCTGCACGAACTCCTGATATTCGAAGTTGCGCCAGTCTTCCTTCATTCTCACATTCTTTATTCCGCGATTATGAAGTTCGCTCTTCCAGCGGCATGTCTGCTGTCAGCGGCACATGCCGCCCAGTATAGCAAAGCACAGTATGAGTCTGGCGAGGTAATGGCCCAGATGATGCAAGCAAAAGAGGTACATGGACCATGACCGCGAACATGTACCGATTCTAATCCTACCAGGCTGCATGGGCAAAACGCAGAGCTGCTGGCGACTACGATAGCGCTAAATGGAATGGCTGGAACGAGAACTCACGCAACGGCCGGGCCAGCGTGCCGTGCGTTGATGGCGTCGCTGAAGTAGTTCCTGGTGATGCCGACCAAACCTACAAGTGTAAGAACATTGACACGTACGACTACAAGACGCACGAGGAGCTTGGCAGCAACGATGGCGAAGGTTCTGGTAGTTGGGGCTGGGTTTCTGATGACGGTCGAGAATTCATTGCCATCGGCCAAACCGACGGCGCGGCATTCGCAGAAGTCACAAGCAAAGGCGTGCTGAGCTACCTTGGCAGACTGCCAGCTCAAGCAGATCCCGTCATCTGGCGGGAGATCAAATCTAATGGACCTTATATGATGATCGGGTCGGAGGGCGTCGGCCACGGAATTCAAATCTTCGACATGCGAAGGCTTCTGGACATCGATCCGGGTAGCCCCAAGGTTTTCTCCACAAGCTCTGACCTGACCGGTCTTTTCACAGGTGAGCGGCGAGTGTAATGACGATACCCTTATATGTTTGCTGGACCCTCTCAGATCTGCCCCTCGGCCGTTCGCACAATGTCGTTGTCAACGAGGAGAAGAACTATGCTGTGGCCGTTGGCGCTGCTCCAAGATCCGATGCATGTGCATCCGGCCTCATCTTTATCAACATGGACGATCCGACCAACCCTTACAAGACAGGCTGTGCTCCTCAAGATGGCTACGTGCATGATGCTCAATGCATTGTATACCGAGGTCCTGACACTCGCTACGATGGGAGAGACATCTGTTATGGATACAACGAGGACACTCTAACAATCTACGACGTTACCAACAAAACAGGTCCCCAAGCCGCGACCATAATCTCACGCACCACCTACGTCGGCGCGACCTACACGGTACATCTCATTCCCATCCACCCTCCACATCTCACTAACAATCCCCTAGCATCAAGGCTGGGTCCTCGACCCTCAATGGCAATCCCACCTCCTGATGGACGACGAAATCGACGAAGGCGTCATCGACCCCGAAAACACAAACCCCGGCCCGGCCTCCGACGGCTTCGCAGTCACCTACATCTGGAGCATCGAAGACCTGGAAAACCCGGTGCAAACCGGCTACTACAAATCCTCCATCCGGTCCGTCGACCACAACCAATTCATCCACAACGGTCTCGCCTACCAATCAAATTACCAAGCCGGTTTAAGAATTTTGGATGTCAGTGGTATCCCCGAGGATCCTACGGGCGGGAATGTGGAGGAGGTTGCGTTTTTTGATGTTTTTCCTCCGGATGACAATATGCCCGGGGGAGGGGTTGCCACTTGGGATGCGGGGACTTGGAGTCATTTTACGTTTCCGTCCGGGTTTGTTGTTATTAACACTATTGATCGCGGGGCGTTTGTTGTTAGGAGTAGGGGGTTTAGGGGGAGGGGGTTTAGGAGAGGGGCTTAGGATTGATTTTTTTAGAGGAGTATACTCTAATAGTAGATCTTTAGGTAAAAGAATACGCTAGCTATAGTGTTTTATAGACGTCTTAAGAGTCCTAGTATAACTCGTAACGTTTTAAAGACGATTCTAGAAAGTACGAAAATATAGACTAAGTAAAGGAAGTATAGTAAGTATCCTCTATTCTAGATCTTAGCTTCTATATACCGGTAGATAGTATATTATCTCTAACTTTGCTATACGAGGTACGAATACGAATATTAAAATAGAAATTATTAGAAAGTAGAAAGTCGGATTAGCCTTAATCCCTAAAATTAACGCTTATACTTTTAAGTCTTTTATATCGTATTAGTTATATATATAGCTTACTAGTAGTTATACTTGCCTAGTTTTAGTAATAATTCTAGCTTTTACGTATAAAGTCCTCGAGCGTATATAATATATTAAAACTACTATACTAGCGCGTCTATTTACTAGTATTATATAGCGATATAAAATCGGAAGTATCCGCGCTTACTAAGCGGTACTTATAGGCTATATAGTTCGGCTACGTACCTAGCGCTAAGCCTCCTTAGCTTCTACCCTATAGCGTAGCTTTAGGACGATATATACTACTATTCCTATACCTTCGCTACTTAGCCTTCCGAGTTAGCTTCGCGAGCTTCCTAGCTTCCTATTTAGCCTACCGACGATCGCGGTTAGCTTAACGAACTAAGAACTCTTAATAATTCGCCTCGCGACGCTAAGCTGCAGCTTGACGGCGGGCTTCGCGCTCTTAATTTTCTCGTTAACGCTAAGCGTCTCGGGCTTGTTAGGCGCTACCTCTATTTAGGCTCGTAGATATAAAGAATTGAGTTGCGTAAAGGTAAATAGGGATTATATTGCGACCGAGTGTACGTAATAGATTAGTAATTAGGGCTAGCTTCCGAACTTACCGATAACTAATTACGAGCACTCTACCTAATTCTTCGCCTACGAGCCTAATATAAACCCGTACGAAACTAGCCTGCTAAACACTAATATAACACTATAACGTGTACAAGACATTCTAAATAGCAGAGGTTATAGCCCTGCTAATTGCGCTTTATTCTACCTATTAAACAAGTCTGTACGACGTTAGCGCGTTAAGTTTTCGCTATTCTACTAAGCCGACTCGACTGTAGCTGTCCGGATTGCTAGGCGGCTAGCTACACTGCTAGAAATACCTCAATATATAATACACCGCATCGCCTAGCTAATACTTAGAGGTCCTTCTCCTAACGCCGGTAATTATTGTTTAGATAGGCGAAAATTCCGTCCGACGCCTACTAACCGCTCTATAGCCTTCGAGGGCAATCGATAACCTTCCTATAGCCGACTCGATACTTCGAGGTCCTTCGTAGACTATTTCTAAATACCTTTTGTGTATAGCATAAGTCTATCCGAGGTGTAGTTGTTAAGTTGCTACTATATAGTAGACGCGACTCTAAAGCTAAGGTTAAAACACCTAAAAGTCGCTGCTAGCACTACTACTATAGCTACTACTACCGCTGCTACTACCGCTAGTAGACCGCTAGCACTACCGCTGCTACTATAGCTGCTACTACAGCTGCTACTACCGCTGCTACTACCGCTAGCAGACCGCTAGCACTACCGCTACTACTACCCTTTAAGATGTCTAACGAACCTTCTAGTAAGATAACGGTATATAATTACGACGATAAAGGCAATCTAATCCTTCCGCCTTAGTAGCAAGACGATAGCGGCGATCTAATAGACTAGGATTTAGATAATGCGCTACTTCTAGGCTAGCTAGGTTATTAGCACGCTCTAGTCGGTCTACCTCTTCCTAGATAGATAGCAGTATTGCCGATACACTCTATAAGCGGCTTCCTAAGCGATATACTAGAGACTATTATACGACTAGCGGATATACCTAGGGTTAGCGACTTCGAAGATAAGCAGTCGGAGTCGGAGACTATAGATAAAGACCTTAGCGAAGAAGACGAAGATCTTAGCAGTAACGAGGAGTTAGATACTCGCGATAAAGACGATACGGTCGATAAAGATAAAGATAAAGATAAAGATAAAGAGGCCCTAGAAATGGCACGCCGTGCTAGCAAAGACGTTGCGCTTAAGCGGCTCCTCGATAAGTATTATAAGGAGCTAAAGGATACTATAGTAAAGAACAAGGTTAGTATAACCTACTTTATTAAGTATCTAGTCGGTAAGCCGGGCGACAAAGCATCTACGTCTACTAAAACTCGCAAGACTACTAAGCGCTCTAAGCAATACGAGAAGAACCTCTAGGCTGTTATCGATGCCTTCCTAGAAGATCGCCTGTTTAGTGCTCGTATTGTTCGCAATAAGCTAAAGAACCTTATTAGCAAGGATTTGTTTGGTATATATAAACCGGAGTTCTGTAACTTCGAAATCGACCTCGGAGATATAGACGATGCTATCTAATAGGTCGCTCCTATATAGCATTAGTTGCTCGGCTAGGATCTACTACCTAACGTACGTCGCGATTATTACTAGTACCGGACTAAGTTCGCGGACAAGCGTAATGTTATACGGAAGCGTACGACGATACTAACCTCTTAAGTCCTATATTCTATATCTTATATTAAGGCATTATTCTTTCTAAAGGCCCTTAGAATATTCCTCGTTAGCAATAGTACGAGTCGTCGTACGATCGAGGTCTTAAACAACCTAAACATTACTCTAGTATATTAGACTATCTAGATCTTAATAGATAAGAATGCTAATTATATAGAGACGCAAATTGCTAAGCTGTACAACTACCCCGATAAGCAGTATAGTAGTACTATCGACAATTTCAATTAGATACAGAACCGTACCGACTAGGCTACTAGCGATACTAACTAGATAGTGGCTATAACTACCTCGTATATAGCCGTTAACAAGCGCATTCCGAAGGGTGGCCTAAAGAAGAAGATAATCCATTACGATAAGCCGCTAAACGCTAATAACATCTTTAAGAATATCTATAAAGATAAGGCAATACGACCGGATAGAGAGGAGGTTTCCGATATTAGTATTAAGACTGCGCTCTTCTACATCGATAAGGCTATTACGTATACGTTTCTAGAGGCCGTAAAGGCAATTTTCGAGAATAGCGGTAGTAATCTAAAGCGACTAGTATAGCTAGTAATCGATGAGTTGGACCCGGCCCGTATAGAGGTGTATTCGTAGCCTGTTTCCTTTAACGACGAGGCGACTATTAAGGGCATATATGCTATATAGGACGAGATCCTGCTTAAGTTCTAGGACCTAGACCGCGATAAGGACTTTGCGAGCGGGCTAGAGGGACCTCTATATATATAGAATAGCGACAATATAACCGTCGTGCGTAGGTATAGTATACGTAACGAGAGTGTCGAGAATAAGGACCCGTACGATAAGCGCGACAGCCTCCTTATATCGCTAGCCTAGTTCTATACTATAATAAACTATGCATTTACTGTCCTACGTACGCACTAGGATAAGAACAGCGATAGGAAGCCTCTTCTAAGCGCTTAGACAGCAAAGGGCGATGCTGCATTCTAGTATAGCGAGAACAAGGTTAGTAGTACTAAGCTAAAATTCTTCGAGATCCTTCGGCTTCTTAAGACTATATTCCGGGCTCGTAGTATCGGTACGGCTATTAAGTAGTTGTCTAAGTAGGGCCGCGTTGTAATCTCTAGTAAGGAGAGCCGTATAGATGTAGTTAAGGAGGCCCTGTCTAGGCTAACCGCTTAGCAATACCTAGAGATAGTATAGGACATCTATAAGAAGCTCCTATCTATCGAGGTATAGCGTAGCTTGCCGCACCGCGTTAGTGAGCCGGCACCTAATACCTAGTATACTACTATAGCTCGGATAATACAGGAGATTGAGATATTCCTTACCCTACGCCTCGGGGTCTGTAACGCAGATATTAGTTATCTCCGTCGATCCGTCGACTATTTAATCCCTAGTTTCCTCGGTACTAAGTAGGGAAATTATAGTCGGATAATAATATATAAGCGATAGCTACTTAGTCTAGGCTATAATAATGTCCTCTAAGAAGCTATTCTGTCTTCTAGTATTATTACTAATAGGAAGAAAGGTTATGCAATAGCGGCGGATAAGCAGCTCGAGATCTATAACTACGAGTACTTAGAAGACATTAATCGCATCGGTAACTCGACTTATAACCTGCTAGCAACCTTTAAGAAGATCGTACTTAACCGCGAGCCGGCTCGTATACTACGTAATATAATAACCTCCTTTACTAGTATTAAGCTAAGCAGTTACTATACCTATAAGAATACGGCTATTAACGTCTTTAGCCGCGTAGAGAAGCTGTTCTCGGATAGCTTTATAGCTCCGCATAGCAATAACGGTAGGCATATATCGGACGATATCTAGCAGCTTAGTAGCGATCAGATCCGCGAGAAGGTCGCTACATTCAACTAAAGTAATAAGGAGTACTTCGAAGGTCGTTCTACCGTTACGGATGCGGTCGTAGAGGATATAGAGGCTGCTAAGGCTAGTCGTAAGGCTACGACTAATCGTAGCAATATATAGGATACTACTATCGATAAGACCGATTCTAAGTAGGTCGATACTATCTAACGTGCTAATAGATAGGCTTAGCTTATCGATATAGAGGTTAAAGTAGTCGATACGATAGGCGGTAACTAAGATATAGATAAGGGTAGCGGTTGTAGCGACTAAGGAATAAATGAATATAGCTTTTGTATTCGTTTATAGTAATCTAACCTGCTATATCTACTATTTAGGCCTTCCTTACTAGCTTCATCTCTTAGGTACTAGCTTTATCTTCTAAGTGCGCTTGCCGCCGATAACGATAGCCCCGTCAACTAGGCGGTTGGCGGCGAAGTAGTAGCGGTAGACTAGAGTGCGTGCCTCGTCGGGGGTGTTTATAAAGTCGAAGGGTTTGGCTAGGCGTACGATAATAGCTTAATAGCTTGATAGCTAGCTAGGCTATGCGTACGATAATAGCTTAATAGCCGGCTAGGCTAGGCGTACGATAATGGCTTAATAGCCGGCTAGGCTAGGCGTACGATAATAGCTTAATAGCCGGCTACGAAGGG